ATGGGAAACTAATGAATTATTTCAAAATACATGATTTATGTAGGATTAAACATGAAAATCCTTGGTATATAAATGGAAAATTCAAATTTTTTTTTTTNATCTAGCATTACTCTTAGTTATGCATGCACGTGCCAAAATGAGTGTACACAATGTTTTTGTAAGTAGCCCCACCTTGTAAAAATATTAAGAAATGGGGCAGGAAGGGATAAATGGTGGGTTCAAGGAATATGAATGAAATTTGGTTGAAAATGATTGAATGATAATGACTTTTGATCATCTCTTAATTTTCAAATTACTTGCTTCTAATCTACTCCAAACAAAACTACTTGCAATCCAACTGTATTTGTTTGTTCAAGCTAAATAAATACTTTTAAATAAGAGTAAACCACATTTTCCCATCCAAATTTTAATTTATTGGAACTTTGGCTACTTAAGTTTAAGAGATATATTTACCTATATATGAATTATTTTTATAATTATAGCGTCAAAAACATTCCTATTATTCAATTAAAAACTTATGATTATTATTGTTATAAACCTCTTAATTATATTTTTGAGTAATTATAGCTAAAACAAGGAAGATAATTAATATGGGAAAGTATGACAATATTAAAAATATGTATACATTAAGTAGATGCTATATTTGTTAAGAGTTAATGACTTTTTCTCACCCACAGACTTTTAAAATATCACTATACTACCCAAATCTATATTCCGATGGTGAACATAGAGCAAACTTGGTTCAAACTGTTGGGGCTTTTTAAGAAGGTAGGTCGATGAGTCTTTGGGTGATAGAAGATTGGATTTTGGTGATTGAGATTTATTGGAATTTAACTTGGGAGAGGCGACTGTGCAAACCCTAATCGCTCGATTGCCAGCGATTTGCGAGATCAACAGAAGTAGAGTTTGAGGGATTTTGGTGAGTGATGATTGGGGAAAAGAATAGTAGTGGTGTGGGGTCGCAACGATGTCAAAATCATAAATGAAATATAAATTTTGGTAATAAAGTGGTATTTTAAAAGTCTGTAGATGGAAAAATGTCATTAAGATATTATTTGGGTGGGAAAAAGTCGTTTACTCTATTTATTAAATTTAATTTTTCTATCAAAGTTGTGTTGTGATACTAATAAGTAATAAGTAGTTGATGTGTTAGTATTTACAAAATTATTAAATCCACATGATAATTTTATGGTTAATAATAGAGTAAAGAACCTTTTCCCATCCAAATAATGGTTTAATGACATTTTCCCACTCACAAACTTTTAAAATACCATTTTACCACCCAAATTTATATTCAGTTTCCGATTTCGGTATTATTGCGACCCCTCACCACCATCGTTATCTTCTCCGATCATTACTCACCAAAATCTCTCAAACACTACTCCCAAACCCATCAATTACCGACAATCGAGCGATTAGGGTTTGCGCGACCACCCCTCTCAAGTCAAATTCCTATCAATCTCAATCGCCAAAAGACTCATCGGTCTCTCTTCTTCAAAAGCCCCAACAGTCTAGACTGAGTTTACTCTCTCTTTGCCATCGAAATATAAATTTAAATAGTAAAATAGTATTTTAAAAGTCTGTGGGTAGAAAAATATCATTAAACTATTATTTAAGTAGAAAAAAAGTTGTTAACTCTCAATAATATAAGTTAAGATAGACAAATCAGAGATCAATATTTAATTAAAAATGGACATTCAAGAAGAACACACTACATATGCCTTCTTACCACAAATTAGCACGAAAATTAATGCCATACTTAGTCCATTCCCGCAAGTAAAGTAAGAAGACACGTGTTCCTCTCACCAAATTAAGCATTACAAAATCATTAAAATTGGTTGAAAGAGTTATGGTTGGGTCAGCATATGCCAAACTTGGGGCCACATTTTCATAACCAGAACCATTAAATTGGAGTTGAAAATGAAAGATAATATTAAAGTTTTGGGGTCACCAATAATAAAAGAGTCAACATGGATAATGAAAGGTATTTAATTCCTCAATACGAAACTGTTTAAAAAACAATTCACACGAAAATTTTTTATTTTCAAATAAATGTTTAATATATACCAACCATTTTACATGTTTAATTACATAAATATAAATATTCTTCACAAGAATTTTGACCATTATCAATTTAAGGGTGTTCAAAACCGATTAACTGAATTTGTGAACCGAACTGGTTTTTTGGTTAAGAAATTTTCTTGAACCAAAACAGAACCGGTTAAGGAAAAAACCGGTTAACTGGTTTTAATTTAATATTTTATATATTTTTATAATAAACCGGATTATTTTAATAAATAGTTTTATAATAAATCGGTTAATAAAACCAGTTTCCATATTGTCCCAAACTGGTAACCGAACCAAAAATTCGGTTTTTTATTTTCTTTGAATTGAAATCAACCCGGTTTTTTGGATAACCAAAAATTCAGTTCGGTTCGGTTTCTGCATTTTTTTGAACACCCATGACTATCATAAAACATATGTGGTTATATTCATTACCTTTTATAAACAATTGTCCCTTATTAATAGATATTGTAATTTTTATAGATAAAATTTCAAATTCAACCAAAGAGAAGTCAATCTTTGTTATCAATTATTGATAGTCATTAGGTTTCCCCATCCAAATGTAGAATGTTTTTTTTTTTTTAATGATCGAAGGTGTCCGGGTCAGTTCACTTGCACCTTAACTATCAATCGAATAAGAGTTCTAGCGACTATCCTTATTAGTAACTGGGGAGAGATTTGAATTTAGAATCTCTTGATTCATACACCCTAAGTCTTTATCGATCCACTCGATCACCCAGAGATATAATGTTTATGCTTTCACGATGATTTTCTTTTTAAGTTATAAACAACACAATCTCTTTTTTTTTTTTTTTTTCTCTTTCGTTGTTTAAGAAGTATCGTAATTCGTGATATAATAATTTATAAATTTGACTTAATTTAAAGAGTAATGTTACCGTCACCGAAGTATTGCACCAAATTTATGCAACAAATGACGTAACAAAATCCTAATCGTTGATTAGTATTAAATTAAAATTAATCAATAGTTAGAATTTTGTCACGTCATTCGGTGCACTACTGTCGGTGACTATCTTATTTTCCTAATTTAAAATACATTACTAATTAATAGTTATTTATAAGTCACGGCTTAAAACATAATGAAGTGACACATATGAAATAATCACTCCGTAGTTTCTCGTCTATCCACCATTAGATTATATCAAATCAAATATTTAGAATTTGTATCACTGTTTTAAATTAAAAATTAAGTTGATATAACCTGACTAAAAAAATAAAGAAAAGAATAAGGACTTTATTAATTACTATGTTACCTTATATTAAAAAAAAAAATCTCAAATTATAAAAAAATTAAATGATTTTATAATTTAATCTTTATTAAGTATTACCATACTACACAGTTTTGCATTTTAAAATTGAGTAATGCTACAGTTACCGACTGGTGTGTACCGATTTTGTGCACCGAATGACGTGACACAATCCTGATCGTTTATTTATTATCAGTTAATATTAATCAATGGCCAGGATTTTGCCACGTCATTCGGTGCACAAAATCGGTACACACCAGTTGGTAAGTCTATCATTTTCCTTTAAAATTTTCAAAATGTACGGCAATATAGCAAAGTTTAACCTGTAATTTGCTGGAGTTGTAACAATTTTTTCTCTTTTTTAATATTCAGGAGTGTCCGAGCTAGTTTGTGCGCCTCTCAACTAATCATTTGAGATCATAAAGTTAATTATTAGATAAACTCTAGTAGCTATCCCTTATTAATAGTAATGCGAATTTGAATTTAAGATATTTTAAGTAATACACTCAAAAGTTTCATCAAACTATTTAGAAGTAGTTAATTGTAACAATTTTTTTGTTTTAATCAATTAAATTATTAGATTAATTAATTTTGGTTTGAATTTTAAAGGAAAAATTTGGAGAAAGTCATTTATTATTTAAAAAAACGTTTAAAGGGAGGAAGCATGAGAGAGACAAATCGGATAGAAAATGGGATTTCTTCCAGTTCCATCCTATCCAATTATCCACAAACACCGCTTCAAAAAAGTTTCAGTAAAATAAGGTAGGGCTAATTCCCTGCTTGCCCCTAATTTTTAGATTAAATTTTAAAACCCCTTTAGTTTTCAAAATTATCTCACGCCTCCTTCATACATTCTCTTAACCTTTCCTGTTTCTGGAAGGTTAGTGATGGTTTAAAAAAAAAAAAAAAAAAAAAAAAACATTTGTTTCAATATTTTTAAAACCAAATTCTATTTTATTCAATTCAAAACATTTAATAATTATATTTTTAGTAAAGATTATCCAACTCAACTCAATTATATTTGTTATGCATAAAAAAGTAGGGCTGACGTAGAGCCCTATCAGCATAAACAATCAGAGCTTAGGTAAGTCCTATAGTCATTCAGACACAGTCACGTCACACGCTGATGCAAGTAACATGCTCCTACTAGTGCAGTGGGTATGCGCCAGACTGGTGAAAGGTTGGAGGTGATCCACGTGTCCAATCCCTGCACACGTCGAGTAAATCACTCGAGCAGGTGAACAACAAGACGTAAGGAAGGATTTGTATGGCAATTTGACCCACTCACAGATTTAGTAATCATTACCTTAACTAATCCCACTATAAATAGAAGGTTCATCTCCCGTTTGTGGGATTAGCTAATTTCTCCATGGAATAGCATATATACTCTCTCTCTCTTGTAAGTCAGCTCGTTGAATGTGACCTGATCTCGTATATTAATACAATACTAGTAGACGTATGATTCGTTTACTTAAGCATCTGAATCACTTTAAACATTATTCTTCATCTTTTATTCAGTTCAATACTTCCATACATATAAGTCTTCTGAGTCAACTCAATATTTTTTAAGTACGTTTAGTTGGTATAAAATCACACATTAACAATATTCATTTTCAAAATACTATTCTAAAGGGCATCTGAACAGTAAACATGTTTTTGGAATTACGATAAAATTTAGCCAACCAAAAAAGTACAGTAGAACTAAAAGGAAAGCAAACGAAAACGCTTTTATATTTTAGTACAAAGAAAACGGAGAAGATTGCAAAAAAGGGCCATTCATAATTACTTTTATCAAATCATGTTTGGTGGAGGCAGAAGCATGGGAGGAGGGATGTTAAGAACAGTTGGGAGAGCAGTTACGAGAACTGGAGTTACAAATCTCCAAGAACCCATTTCATCATCTTCTTCTTCAAATTCCACTACTACTACTGCTCCTACTTCGCCTAGAAGGACTACCCAGAGCAGGCATAACTCTCCCAATCATCTCTCCTTGTCTGCTATCACTTCGTCTTCACCTTTTTCTCCGCATAACGTACCCGTTACGGCTTATGGGGTGCCCACCTGGCCCTCTTTTGGGTGTGAGGATTATGAGTGGGTGTCTGTGGATGGTGATGATGGAAAGTCTCATGATGACTTTATTCTTGGTTCTGTTCCTTCCGTTGATGAAGTTAATAACGCTGTCTCTGCGCTTCAACAGTAAGGAATCCTTTATTTTCGAGGCTTTTTCAATTTTTTTTTTTTTTTTGTGTGTTTGTGTTGAGATAAATCTGTCGTTGCTTTTGTTGTTGTTGGGTTTTATGCTATGTTTGAATGGAAATATTCTAATTCTGTACTTCAGTATTTCTGCTGTTAATTGCAGTGTTGAAATTACAGATCGGTTTTTGGATTTGTAAAATTGTTGTCGCTACTGTTAGTTCAGTGATGGTATTAGTCTTGGGGCTACTGCTAATAATAGTGGAAGTAGTGGTTATTTTTGTGTTTGTATTTTGTTTATGTAGTTGTGGTGGTGGTGGGGGCCGTGGCGTCATCCATGAACATGATGATAGAATATGACATCTGCCTCAACTTATTCACAAGTGAATTCCCCATTCAAGTGCTGTAGATTAGTAGAAATCATATCAAGTATAATTTCGCAATCATTCTTTTTGTAGTGGGGATGATAGTGATGGTCATGGAAAAGTTCATGATCGATTATGTGTAAGATAACCTAGTTTCTCACAAAGAAAATTTTCTGCAAGACGTCAGTCAGATAAAGAGTTGAAAGAGAAATAGTTTGGTTAGCAGATTATTGACAAATAGGTTTTTGTTGCTTTCCTAGCAATATGAAGCAACTGTTAGACTTTTCAATTTTGAAAATTGGGGAACTGACTATAGACTTACTGCGCTTGTTATCTGTAATAGATGAGAGAATATGTTTTCAAAAATCAAAATGCTGAAACTGGAATCAGAGCTTGATGGGAAATGGGGAACAAAAAGTGGAACTCTTCTTCAAAGTAGTTGGCTCTTTGCTTCTAACATGATACCTGGATGAGAATAGTGTTGTTTTTCCCTATATTCACACTAATTCTAATATATAATAGGATTCAGGAATTTCTTATTTTAACAGACAAATGATCGCTGCATCTTGATCAATGGAGGAGTCCAATTTAATATCTAAAATAAAGTTATCAAAGGTTAATCTTTCTCATTATAGAACACCATTTTGCATAATGATACCCCTGAACCCAACTTATTAATTTTAGTACTGTGCAATGATGATTATGTTGTCTATTTTAAAGTAACTTGATTTGTGCAATTGTATTAGAATTCTTAATTTGTTTTGTTTGGAAGGTATATTTATAGCCTCAATAATAAATAGTGTGAGTTTTTATTTATTTATTTTTGGTTGTTTTGTTTCAAGGTCTATTACTTCACCTGATGAAATCCAAAATTCTGCCTCTTGTCTTAATCTTTTAATTTAATTTTCTTTTTCTCCTTCTGAGCTTTATAAATCCTATGCTAATGGTTTGTTTGCTGTTCATGGGTTTTGCATACGTGGAAAGGAAAATTTGGTCGACTTTGTCATGGTGGAGATTAATTAACTATTACTTCAACCTCGAACTTTTATAACTTGGCTGATGCATAATTTCGACGGCTTATGTTTAACCTTGATTCTTGCCTTTGCACTTGTTTGTTAGTTTTATCCAACTTGAGGCTAATGTATATGCCTAATTATAAGTCTGTTATTTTTCTGTTTGAAAACTTTAAGCATTGCAGATTTGAAATCATACTTACAATCGAAGTTGACTTGTAAGATTTTGAATTTGTAGGGCTTTCGACCCTGCTTCATACTCCCTCGTGAGAGATAAGTATGCCTATAATTTGGACAAGGATGCTGAGTTGGATTGGGTAGAGCCCTCACTGCATCTGAGTAATTCAAGAATGTTGCAGCCTTATGGACCTGACAGAGTTTATGATGCTTTTCATTTATTACAGACGGAGCCATCTATTCAGGTGCCTTCCCTATTTCAAAAAATTGAAAGAATAGAAATTTGCTGCTTTTTGGATTTTAAGTGTCAATTCAGTGCATTTTCCTGGAGCCAAGTGCAATAGACTGCATAAGTATAGGTAGTATAACGCAAATAGAATACTTAAGTCACAAAAATAAGAAACATGAATATGTCACCGAGCTTTTTACCAAACTTAGATGTAATCAGAACAGTGATTTTTCTGTTTCATTTTCTAACAAGAAGGGAGCATCAATTTTATGTCTAGAACTTATCACAGGTTTTTTCTTGTTTCAAATTTTATCCGTAACACTATTAAGGGTCCCTTTTTTTCTTTCAAATTTTCCAGAGAATGGTCGTTTCATTATCTTCAGATCAAGCTGTTTGGAAAGCTGTTTTGAACAATGAAGTGGTTCGGGAACTGAAGGAGTCTTTCTATGCAGCAGGTTGGTAGAAAGTTAGTGAACATCTTTAAGTTAAATTTTTGACTTGTAATCATAATCTCATGAGGAAAAGTTATATAATTACTACTGGAGGGGCCTTATTTGTGTTTCATTGACCACAAACTTGGTGTCATATCTTGATGGCTTGAATTGGGTGTTCTTTTTATTTTGCAGCATGTTTTCCTTTTAGATTCTCTGCTAAGTTTTAGTGTGGTATTTTTGACATACAGAGGAGAAAATCTAGTCATGAGAGTCAATACTTGTTATTTCGTCGAAAACATGATCATCAATTTATTGTAAGGGATATTATGGATCCTTGTTAATGGATATTTTCTAGTTGATGGTAGATTTAAGTAAAACTCATCTAAATTGTTTACAAACATGAGATTTTGGATTATATATGCAGCTGAAGACAGCGAATCAGAGTGTTCAACTGAGATTTGTGATGACTCCAACCCTGCAATGAATATCATCAAGTGGATTTTTCACAACACTAAGGCCAGACTCATTGAAGTAATTGATAAAATTACTCATATCGTGAATGAGGTGTTCAAGCCTTCTGATGACGAGACGCCAACAACAGGATCTAAAACAGCAGGAGCTACAGATCCATTTGAGGAAAAGCTGAGAACTTCATTCCTTCTATCCGTCATGGTGCTGTTGTTTGTGGTTGTGACTAGAGCTGGCAGGGCTTGACTGTAATTTGACGACATGACAGGTAATACATTCTGGTAGGGTGACTTGTACTGCTAGTCTTATATATGAAGTTATGCTTGTAAAATTAAAAACAATGAAAGTAGGGAGACTGAAGTTAGCACATTGATGTGCAGTATGTAATGATATGAATATTGGGACGTGTTTATATTTTGTAAAGAGAGTGACTTTGACTCTACTGTGCTTACTGCTTAATTCACTCTGGGGGATTTCAAAGTTGAGCTGTTTTTGTTCTTTTCGTTTTCTACTTATTTAAGTCTTAGTTGCTATGGGATGTCTGGCCAGTTTACGCGTATTTTAATTAATTGTCTATTAAACACTTTACAAACTCAAAGGACCGGGTCAGTTACAATATTATTGTGGTAGGTAATTCTAAGATTTGAACCTAAACACTCAAGGATATGAGAAAACCTTCTTGGCCGTCAGACTAACCTTTTGGAATTTATCAGTAATGACATTATGATATCTAGTAATATATTTCATACAAAATTACAAATAATTATATTATAATTAAAGGATGCACATAAATAAATTTTAAATTTAATTGAATAAACAAAAATATAACTAATTACTCTACAGAAACAATAGAATATAAATTATATTATATTAATAAAAAATAAGAATGTATATAAACCAAAATTTAACACTCCATTTTAATAACCTAAAGCCTAGCTCTTCTTCTACAAAAAAATATTAAAGTATATTTCATAAAAATATTATATTATAATTAAAGTATGCACGTAAAGAAATATTTCACACTTTAATGACCAGCTTTTTCTGATAATGTTTTACGACTTAGCTTAAAATGAAATAATATAATTATGTCATCAGGAGTTATTATTATTTGCAAATCAAAATAACTAGAAATTATTTAGAGAAAGGGATTGAAATTGTATAAAATATTCAACTAAATGAAAAATAATATCATAGAAGCAATATAAGAATATATATATTTTAAAGCTCAGATAAATATTTTCTTCAATTTATTGTACAAATTGCACTTATATTATTAAATATTTATGCTGAAATTGTGTTGCTGCAGAAATTACAGTTTTTATAATTTAATTAATTTTTATTAGAACTTAAAAATAGTTAAAACTATTAAATAAACAAGACCATGAATGAAATTAAATAAACTATTAATTAATTTAGAGAATAATTCTGTTGATCTTCATACAGATATTGGCGGATGGCCAAAGCATAGTCATCATTATAAAGCTCCGTCTCATCTTCAAGTAGTAATGGTAGTTGCACCATGGTGGTGGTGGTAACGGTTGTAGTCCTAGCCGGCAGTGCTGTCGAGTGGTAGCGATTGAGAACACCTTACCCCTCTTGTTCTTCTTTTCAGAATCCACTTCTTCAAACTTTGCCCTCTTGTTTTTCTTCAGAGCTGGTTCGTTCTTTCTTATACGGCAAACCACGTAATTGTTATGTTGATTTGGACGCAGCAAAGACGAATCCAAGCTATACTCGTGCATGATCCGGCCACCATGCTGATCGGAGTCTTTGTTCTCATATCGGAATATCTTTTTAGACCCAATTTTCTGATTGTAAACTCTGTACCACCATCTTCTCCTTGCCATGTCCCTGTTCCAACACTACGATTGATTCTTGAACCTTTTAAAGTCTTTTTCTTGAATTGGGTGAAGATATATAAATCTTCATCACGCTCCTCTCCAAGCTGTTGTTTAAAGATGTTCCAGATCTGTCACGGCTCTTCAGAACTATAAAGGTTATATTCTGGAATTAATAGATCAATACCAGGGATGGGTTGGTTTGCTATCTTGTTGTAAAGATAGAAACCCACCAATTCAAAGTCTTTGGGATCGAAGACGTATCCAAAGGGATGACAGAACTCAACTACTTCCATGGTTTTTTTTCTTCTTGTGCTGAATCAGATAATTTGTTACGGGAACTTTCTCATATTATCCCACCAAATCTAAGTTGTTCCAGGAACTTTCTCATATTATCCCAAGTTAACCACATTACTGAAGATGGAACCAATGTCTGGAGTTGCAACACAGCCCGTTTAACAAGTTCTCCAAGAACGCAATAGGTTTCATCTTTTTGGTTGATTGCCGCAACATTTAGAACAGACATGCAATCTGAACCAGGTGAAAACTGCAAACAGTTTGACTCAACATACAATCAAAACAAATTATGACGAGATTTCAAAAAATTATAACTTATTACAGTGTAAAATTTATTCTTATTTATAATTGACCTAAGTTTAGGCCAAAATTTGTTATAACTACATAGAGGTTATTCCTATGTAAAGTATAGAGGTTGTTTTATATATATATATAACATGCTACAAAGATATCTCTTTCTTTGGTGATATTCACTTTGTTTAATAACTACTCACAGAGTTCACTTTGTTGGTATCACATTTATTCATAGAACACATAGATCAATAAAAGAGAAGGGCATATGCAAATAACTGTAGACAGAACAATAATCACAATATCATTTAAATTGTTTTTGACAAAACAAGCATCATTTAATGGTAAATGTATTGAAATGCATGACAGCAAAATAATCCTGATAATGGAAATTCTTCCAATGAAGCAGACAAACCATCCATCGTTTCATTATTCTAGAGCTGTCGGACTTCAACCTTTATCTTCAGCCGGAGCTGGTCCAATGCACAATCGGTGTCTCCCTATATAAAGGAAAAAGAAATAAAATCATAAGCACAAAAAAGCATGCCTGAAGTTAAAACTACAAAGCTTGCTGTTTCTTTTGGCTTTTGTTCTCTTGGCTTTGGCTTCCTCATTGGCCTCTGCTTTTGATCCCAGTCCTCTTCAGGACTTCTGTGTAGCCGTTGATGATCCCCTGCACGGTGGTACGTTTTAAGTTTCTGTCACAATTTCTATTTTTATATTTTTGAATGTACATTAGCAGCGCACATGCAAACACACTCACTGTATACATCCTTTCTATGGCTAGGCATGTATTCGATATTAATTCAATTCTTTCATGTTTTCAGTGTTTGTGAATGGGAAGTTCTGCAAGGACCCCAAGCTTGCCAAAGCTGGGGATTTCTACTTTTCAGTTAAGATGCCTGGAGACACAAACAATCCAGTTGGTTCAAATGTTAGCGCTGTGAATGTCGATCAAATTCCAGGACTTAACACACTTGGCATTTCAGCTGCGCGTATTGACTTTGCTCCTTATGGCCAAAACCCACCTCACACTCACCCTCGTGCCACTGAGATTCTTGTAGTCCTGGAGGGTACTCTTCTTGTTGGTTTCGTTACTTCCAATCCAAACAACACACTTATCAGCGAAGTTCTTAACAAGGGTGATGTGTTTGTGTTTCCTATTCGTCTCATTCACTTCCAATTCAATATTGGAAAAACAAATGCGGTTGCTTTTGCTGGTTTAAGTAGCCAGAACCCTGGTGTAATTACCATTGCAAATGTAGTATTTGGATCAGATCCTGCCATTGATCCTGGTTTTCTCGCTAAAGCTTTCCAGTTGGACAAGGGAGTACTGGTGGAAGATCTCCAGAAAAAGTTCTGGATGGATGAGAAACATATTGTCAAATCCAGTGAAATATGTTTCCTACTTCTGGCTAAATGTTTTCATTAATTTATTTTACAAGTTTCAATTGATGACGTAATAAAGAGAGGCTACATACATGTTATGTACACCTCGAGTGTGTTTTTTTTTTAGTTATGTTACATTTTGTTGCTTTACTCTTTCATTGGACTCCCTCATCACCAAAATACTACAAAATTTCAATGTGTAAACTTAATGAGAATAAAAAATACATAAACTACAAGTCATTGGAATATTTTAATTAGGTATTACACTTTAGAAAATGATATCATGGATAAGTGTGTACTTCTATTTTAACGATACATCATGTATTAAAGAATTAATTACTTGTATTTAACACATTTGGCAAAAATCAAATGCTTTTCGGCGTTAATTAAAACATTGCTATAAATCATAAAAAAGTGAACTTTTTGGATAATCCAATCTCAAAAGGGCAATTAATTTGACTTCCTCCTAATTGTAATTGACCAAAATGCTATGAGCCAGCATAATATCGCTAGGATGCCTAACTTTTATAAAACTGACAACTCCCTCCCCTTCCCCTGTTCATTTGACACGTTTTGTTTATTATATGTTGAATAAGGATTTATATTTTATTTATGATACAATTACACATGCATTTAAGGGTAAATGCGTAATATTTTACAGTTTATGGCTTTATGCTATTTCTTGCATAAAATAATAATTTTGGATTTTCATTAGTTGTTTTTTTTTTTTTTTTTTTTTGTAAAACCTCGACGAACTTCTTGTTATTTATAAAGCAAAATCTAAAATATTAGCGAGGTACTACGTTATCCAGAAAGGGGGCTGCGGAAAACTTTGATGATTTATGAAGACCCTTTTGCTGAGTGATGCTATTTATCAAACTGGTAAGGTGGAAGTATATAGTAACAATTTGAGGTGTTGATCAGTTATAGAATGTAAGGAATACTTTGTTTTTTAAACTAAGAGGAAGTTCATTATAGTAGTATTTATTTGATTTTCAGCTGTTCCTATCCGATAAGGTCTCTCTGATGGTTATGTACATTATGATGCCTTGATTAATAAGTCAGACTAGATTAAGAGCCTCGATTATCTATTAACTTGTAGTAGTCTCCATGTAAGACAAAGTCCTCCTTTTTTAGAAAATGAATTAATGCAATAAGACTTTAATGCATGGATGTCTTGTTAAGTAATAGCATATAGTCTCAGAGTTTCCTAATAGAGTGAACGACTTTTTCACACCCAAGGTTTGCCTTAATGACAATTTCTTACTAAAAAGGTTTCAAATTATCACTTTCTCACCTAAAGTTTATAATCAGTTAATACTCAAAATATACTTTACTTTCTCAATTGGTGTTCAACAGTTACTAGAAGACAGGGTAAGAGGGGTTTTGTAGAGTAGAGGTCGTTGGATCGAATGGTGATGATCAATTAAATAGTCATACACAGAATCGGTCAGAAATCAACTAAGAATAAGAAATCCTAAGTTTGCCCTTTGACTGTCACAAATTAATAATTTTTTTTTTTTTATGCTTTTGATAACAGTAATTGTGTTTGAATCATATATAACTTAAAATAATATATTTTGGTTCAAATACATTTTGATTGTGAGTCAAGTTCAGAATTTTGT